GAACAAAGAGCTGAGACTTGCAAGCCCAGAGAGACTGGAGCAGTCTCTGGAACATGTGTATTGCCCCCTGGAGAGCCCACGGATGTCTACACAGATTATGTAACATAACAAGCAGGACTTGGGAGAGTGTCTTATTAATCTTCCAAAGCTATTAACTATCTCTTTAAACTGTAATTGCATCGCTCTTAATTGCTTTATTAGTTCCCCAGCTTCATTATTCATCTTGTCTCATTTCTATTCAAAGCAATGCAGTTGCTCTTCTTTTCTCCTCTTTTCTTCAAAGTGAGAGGAATCTCTCTGTCTCTACACCCCAGAGAAAGGAAAGGTGATGACATGCTGGCTCCACACAGACTTGCACAGGCCTTATGATGACAGCTCTCTCCCTCTGGCACCCTGGTGTCCACTGACCTGTCTCCTTCCCATCACCTCCTCGCTGAGCTAGTCACGGCTTGGTCAGAGGGAGATGTGCCCGGCAGCTCATCAATGATTTGCCCACAAACCTTGTTGACACCTAGAGAGGGGCCCATGTGTGCAGCTCCAGAATCTTCCCTGGCCTCTGAACTGGTGCTGCCTGCCTCAACTTCCTGGATGGCACTGGACATCTGTGAGAGCCCCGCCCCAGCAGTCTCCCTGTGGCTGTCTCCTGCAGACTGAGGCTGGCAGGCTCAGCACCCACTCACTTCACAGACATTTCCTGTACTGCCATCAAAGCTGGGGGGGGGGAGGAGGGGGCGGGGGGGAGGGGAAGCACATTTTATTTTTTCTATGAAATAAAAGCTTATCTAAACATCTGGCGATTCTTGGTGACTCAAAAGCTGACAAGATGGCACAGGAGCCTGGTGTGGTGCCTGGCAGACGTGTGAGGCAGCTATAGTGAAGTGTCCCACCCCAGTGCCAACAACACTGGCTCCTCCCACTCCACCGCTCCACCTGGCCCTCCTCCCTGTCTGCGGCCCAGGAGGCACCAATGGTAAAGGAGTACAGCCGTCCAGAGCCCTGGTGCCTCGTCTCCCGCATGGATGAATAAGGGCACAGTCTCTGAATGCGGGTCATGTGGTGGGTGAAGTGCACAGTGAGGACTCTCAAGCCATGTCCGGACCTGTTTCCCAGACAAGGAGGTGACAGTTGCCTCTTGACCACTGATAAATGTGCTCAATGAACCCTGAAAGGCAAAGCACGTGGGTGGGAGCCCACAGACGTTTCCTAGTGAGATCTGAGCTTGCTTTACCCAGCAGGGCTGCATAAGGGATGGACTGACCACATGCATAGTTACCAGGTGTTTGGAAGGGTCTGCACTTGACTGTGCTAGGGGAGGTCTTTTGCTTCACCCCTTCACATTCCTTTAAAAAGCCCTTTAGAAGAGACAGAAGGGGCCGGTGGATTCGGATCCAGGCCCTCCCGAGGCTATCCTGTGCTTCTGTCTGTCTCTCTCCCCCCTATATTTCTATCTAAATCTCTTATCCCTCAGACCTCACGAGTACCCTGGGGGGAAGGTGGGGGCGGGACACACACACACACACACACACACACACACACACACACACGCAGTCAATGGGGACCTGCTTAAGCTGTCTGCATTAATGCTCTTGCACACCATGACTTCCAGCTTGCTCACTACAAACAACCTTCCAAAGGAAACAGGAGAGTCTCAAAGTTACACTTCAGGCACTTCTGCTTCCTCCTGAGCCTCCATTCTGCCCTATGCTGGGCCCCTCAAATCCACCCTCAGGGAGATGATTCACAGAGAACCTGCTGGTCCACTGCTACTGCTTAGAATATAATAGACGCCTGCTTTGTATGTACCAAATGGAACCAGAGTCCGGCTTCCCTCCTAGGAATTTAGAACATACTCCCTACACGGAGCCCAATTTACCTAGAAAGGAAGCCTTGCCCTCAACAACAGTGAAGGGAAAATAAGTTGTGTTAACTCTCAAATTCAGAAGCAGACTTCTTGACCTATTTTCACTCTTTAGGTTGGAACTTCTCTGGGGTTCTTTTTTCCAGAAATTGGGCAGAGCCTTGGCACCTGACACACCTAGAGAAAGATTACACAGGGAGATGTTTAGACATGAAACATCCAACATGCTCTATATTTTGAAAGGAAAGAAAAATTCTCTGTTTTAAAAAGGCACCCAGGGTTGGAGAGTTGGTCTGGCAGGTAAGAGTGCATCCCTTAGAGAGAACCAGAGTTGGGTTCCCAGAACTCTGGCTGGCTGGCTGGCTCCCAACCACCTGTAACTCCTGCTCCAAAGGATCTGATGCCCTCTTCTGGCATCTGTGGAAACTGCACCCACATGAACAACCCCACACAGACACACAAGCATGCATATTATTAAAAATAAAACTCAGGTCAAGTGTGGCAGTGAATGTCTTTCATCCCAGTGCTTGGGAGACAGAAGCAGGCAGGTCTCTGTAAATCTGAGTCCCACCTGGACTACACAGTGAGATCCAAGTCAGCCAAGGCTACATAGTGAGACCCTGTCTCAAAAAAAATTTAAAGCAGCCACCTTGATTAAGGTCATTCCAAGATGGAGCAGTTCCAATGTCCCTTCAACACTCTCTAGGGCGAGCATGGCGCTTCAACTGCAGTTATGGTTTTTGATGATTTTTTCCACAAACAGGTATGGTTTTTTATTATCACATGTTCACTAGCAAAGGTGAAACTTTTGGTCCTTAGTTTGTAGCCATCAAATTTCCCTACATTACCTGAACCATAATTCCTTCACTTTAGAAGACCTTGCAGATTGTTCTCTCAAGGCCAAGGAGGATGGGAAAGAATTGCATGATTCTAATAAACAGCCAACCATACAGAATATCAAAACGGCATCAATCTGCAGGGGCAGTGGAAAACTACATGATGCTTTTCAATATCACCTATCAGAAACATTAAGCAAACAAGTGATTTCTCCAGTAATTCTCAGCCCACAAACAATGTGGATGCACCTAAGTGTCAGCGTTACAGTCCTACAAATGCCCCTGAGTTGTGTTTGGAGCTCTCCTTTATTTATTACAGATTTTTAAAGTCTGACTTCCTATCATCCAGTCAAGTTAACCATCAGGAAATAGTTTCTACTGCCTCATATTCCATTATCAAAAACAACTTGCACAAAAGCTGGATGTTTCAATTGCAGTGTGTCTAGATCCACATCTAGACCCCACAAGAAGCACAAAGCATCAGTATGTGGTGGCACGTGGCTCTATAATCCCCGCACTGAAGAAGCTGGGGTGGGCAGATCACGGGCCTCCAGAACTGCGGGACAGGATCCGCCGTTCAGGAGCCACCGAGCCGCTGTTCTTTGGTTGTAACAGCTCAAATGAACGAACACATCATGAGGCCCAATCTTGTTGCTACAAAAAAACGAGCAGTCTGCCACACCCACACCAGCAGTGCCACAGAGTGTCTCCAGAAGCCAACTCCGTTCCTTTCGCTAATGCATTGTGGCATCCCAGAGAGACAGCTCACGCTTACGCTGCACAGAGCAGGCTAACTGGGTCATCTAAACCACGCTGGCTGTCTCTCTCCTTACCTTCTGTGCTACAGGGAAGGTTCCCAGGAGGCAGAGCTTTCACCAGAAAACACTGCAAGGCAGTGTTAAAGTGGTAGCCGGGGTCTGATGGGTCCTGGGCCCTGTTCTTTTGGTGACGGGTATACCTTCCTTCTTTGCTCCACAACTTGGCAAGGATCCCATCAAATATACATCTTTTCAGGAAAACCCCTAGTTCATGTTTCTTTAACCTCTGATTCTGTGGCCCTGTCCAGAGCTATGCCTGCTGCCCAGGGAAAGCTAAGGTCCACAGCCAAGCTGAAATTCTGTCCAGACTCAGTCATATCCCTTCAAAGCTCTGGAGAGAGCTGAGCTCCAGAATTCTGAGACAGAAGGGCAGGTAGCCAGCCAAAGGTGAGGCAGATTAATGACATTTTCCTAACTGACCAATCGGCTGCTTCACGCGATCCTGGGACCCGGAGGCACCGGGTAGACATTTGCATTGGCACACATAGGTTAGGATGCATCAAAGGCAATTCTCAGTCTGTGAGCTGGCCGGCCATGCCCACCAATCCAGTTCTCCCACACTATGATAAAGTCGACAGAATTGTGGACATGACAACGTCCGTGGTTCCCAGTGGCCCCTGGCGGAGGACGCTGACAGTGCTCGCTCAGTCCCGCTGGTTTTGTCAGGCTTCCACAGCCCGAGACACCTTCGACAGAACTTCCTTCTAGGTGTAGGATGTAAAGTCGCTGATCTAGAATCCTTTGGCCTCAGCGTTAACTCAGCTTTGGAATGTAACCCCTACTGTCTAACATCTTCCTGGCCTCTGTCACCACCAGTACAGCTGGGACACGGTCACTGTGCTGAAGTCTAAGCCAGGTCCCAGCTAGCTGGTTGGATAACAGGCTCCTCTGAAGCACAGAAACTGGAAGACACCTAGCTGGTAGCAGCCTGTGATTTTCCTGATTCCGGTGTTTCCTTTCCACCTCCGGGCACCAGCCTCCAGAGATGCCCTGCTCCTCTCCTCTGCTTCCAGCCCCATCTTCCTGTCCTGCTCCTCACTGGCCTCGTGGCATTGCCCTCTTAAGTCCCCTCGTTTGGGCCTCCCTTCTTCCATGCCTCCCCACAGACGAACCCACCTGCCAGGAACCTGTGGCTTGCTTGCACACACACAAAGCCTTTCGAGAGCTGTGTTACATAATTCCCAGCAGGCAGAGTCATTTCCTATATTCCTGTGCCTCTGCCAGTATTTTTCACACCCGCCTTAACTGTCAACAGCCAGCCAGTGCTCTCCTAAGACCAAGACTCCTCCTGACTTGTGTTTGTCCTCATTGTGTTAGACTGTTTCTTTTGAGGGACATACTAACATAATACACAATGCATACGTGTACATATGTAGGTTTGCAGGGAGATACATATCTCACAAAAATGATTTCCAGATCTCTCTCTAGACTATTTCCCAGATTCAATCTCTCCCCAAACAAACAAACAAAAACAAAAGATATAGTTACTTCTTCTGTGGAATCTTCTGGGGTGGGCTCTGTGTCCAGGCTGAGTTCCTCCTCTGTGGTCTGACAACAGAGACACAGGTTAATATGGTTAGTATCTCAAAATTTGCATCAGTAGCTTCTTATGTGTAATCAGCACAGCTGTAACTAGCTTGGTAGGTGGTGGGGTCTGTATCATGGCTCCCCTCACACCTAAACAGTCCCCTAACTGTGGAGACAGGTGTTTTACATCCAGGCAGTGAGCATTCATGTCTAAAGTCACAGACTGCTGAATCAATGAAGTGTATAACTTCCAGCACAATCCAAAAGAGGAGGCCTTTACATAGTCTTCAACCAGCCAGAGGCAGGAGACAAGCTCACACGGAGCTCCAACATCGGCATGGTGAGGGCGGACACAGCCAGGCAGCAGACGAGACTGTCATCATTCCTGTTTGAATGGAACAAATCAGGCTCGTGTCACCTCTGGAAGAAGAACTGGGCTTTGTGGTTTTGTTTTTTAGAGAGTGTCTTGTGGAAACGCTAGCAGCCTAAATTTTGCTATATGAACACATCCAGTCTCACAGCAGTCTTCCCACCTCTGCCTCCTGGGTTTGGGGATTACAGGTGTGTGCCACCAAGCCCAGCTTGGAAGGATTAATTAAATCATAGACAGTAGAACATTCTGGGCTCACAAAGGCCGGAACAACATCTGTGTAGCTCAGGGTTTAAACAGGAGGGCAGGGGCCGCATCTTTGCTCACCATGCAGTGGCACAGACAACTGCTCAGATGACCTGGTTCCTCACCACAAAGGTGACAGCCCCTAACGCCCTGAGATGCAGAGAGGACTCAATGAAACATTCCCACCCATCTCTAGCTCTCATGGGCTCTGATGCTCTGGGTTAGCTGCTGACATCACTAGGATTGCTAAGCCAGCAGCCAGGCTGGGTTAGAAATCACACTAACTTGACTCTGAGTTGCCAGGCGGATGTGCAGTGTTTGAAAACCAAGATTTTGCTTTCTCTAATGCACTGTGACATCCCAGAAAGCTCACACTTGCTCCTGCAAAAATAAGCTTAAAATGAGTCAGCTAAACCTCACAGATGGCTTCACACACTGGCTCTCTTGGTGCTGCTCACCGTCTCTCCAGAGCATGGCTGTGGCCACTGAAACCCTGCTGAGAACAGGCACCCTGGAGTCCTGCTTCTGATATATGCCTTTAGCCAGTGAGTACAACTCACAGAACACCACTGCCCCCCACTTCATACTAGTGTTCAGGGGTTCTCTAGAACCTCCAGTTTTTAATTACCCTGTTTTCTTACTCCATTCATGGGTAAAATATCATCTAAAATATCCAAAACCAATTCATAGTACCACAGTTAGTCTCCTTAGATGGGCAATGTGTTTCCTCTAGTCTGTGTGCTGGAACATTGCTGGTTCTATAAAGACTATACCACATTCTACTTGAGGGGCCTCAGAGTCCTAGATTTCTTAGGCCTGTGGACATGAGAACAACTGGGGAGAGGAAAACAAGTGTAGCCATGTTAGGCTAGAAGAAGAATCCAGGAGCACTGGTCTTCAGCCAGTGATGTCAACATGTTCCACAGACAAGCCTATCCATGCGAGGTCAGACTCCAGGTGTGTCCCTCCCAGCTCTGCCCACCATCTTGATCTGTGAGTTATTTCCATAGCATAGGACATAAAACACGGGCAAAACAAGACAATGAAGTCAGCTTAGGTATACTGTGACCCAGGGAAGTCACACTCGAGGGCATGGAATGTCCCTCGAGAGCTGGAAACTTCATGCTTTCAGTATTTCAGCTTTGATCCTTCTGTGGAAACAACTCTCGGTTCCCTTAGTTCCAGATTACTAGCAATTGAATGCCCCATCCTGACTCTGCATACTCCACAAGTTTCCTGTTCTGAAAAACTCACCAGAAAGCCTGAGGAAACGTCTTCTTTCAAGGCTATTTAGCCCATCTGAATCTCCTCATAGTATCAGACAGACTGACCACAGAAACTCACAATCCTCTCCTCTGCTGGACAGCAGAGCAGTGCAGGTGCGATCAACTCTGCTTCAAGGTTTTAGATTTGCAGGTTTTCTTGGGTGATGACATATTTTCATAATACTATGAGTCTGCCTGTGGCTACTTCAGAAATATTGTCAACACAAGCTGCTCTTAGAAGCCTCTGTCCTGGTGGTAGTGCCAGACTCAGAATTCTAGCCGTGCTCAACATTTCCTCCATTCCCGCCTCTCCCCATCAGTCTGGCTCTCCCCAAAAAGAGCTCTACGTTCAAGAAGCCAGGCAGATGGACATCAGACCACAAACGCCGGAGTCAGCTACAGGAAATAAGAGAATGTCTGCTCTCATCTTTTGTTCATTCATTAGTTGAATTTTTAGAAGAATCAAATATCTTTTTAAAAATATAGACTAGAGTCGTCATCTAGGGAATGAGTGGCTTTGTCTTCAGCTGCAAGGCAGCATCAAGTACCAGCAGAGTAATCAGCAGCAGCGGCAGAGCTGAGTGTCATCCTCGCTCACCAAGGCAACTCGCACCAATCCTCAGACTCTGGCTGCATCCACACAGCATCTGTGAAAGGCTCTACACTCTGTTAATACCAACACCTATTCCAAGCACTTAAAATATCTACACTCATTTATTTATTTGGTCTCTGCCTCTCTCTGTCTGCCTCTCTCCCTAGCCGTGTGTGTGTGTGTGTGTGTGTGTGTGTGTGTGTGTGTAGAAGTCAGAGGGCAACTTTCAGCGATCAGTTCTTCACTATTATCACATGAGTTTAGGAATTCAGGTCATCAAGCCTGACAGCAAACACCTTCACCCCACTGAGCAACCTCGAAAGCCCTATTCCAAGTATTTTTATGGGAGTCTAGCTGCTTAGGAAGTCTTCAAAGTAAAATACCAAATAAGCTGTCTTCTAAAACAAAATCATTCAGTTTAAAGATTCATTTATGTGACAGTCTCCATGTCACTCTGATGTGAAAGCAGTCAGCATGGAATTTATAACCATAAGGTTAGATGAGGCACAAATTAAGCCTGAGCTTATAAAACAATTATAAAAATTGGCCATTTCGGTTGCTCTTGGCACAGTACGTGTCCATCTAAAGATGCAGTCAGTCTTAACAACTTAGGAAAACTTTCAGGAAAATCTCTGATGGTCATGGGGAACCCAAATGGAGCAAATGAAATCCCTGGCAACGGAGGCTTCCACATGCCGAGGAGAACGCGTCACCCGCATCTTCCCCAGGCAGCCCCAGCACATCGGCGCCTTTCCCAGGCTCTCATTGCTCCCCGAGTCCATGACTGTCGGGACAGCACTGCCTCTGCGCTCTGGTCCTCCTAGTAGAGCTGCTTGGCCTCTGCAGCAGATGGAGATCTAGACCATGATCTAGACCACTTGTTGAAGGCAGAGCCAACGGGTGCCGACTAGTTGACAAAAGGAGTACTTCAGAGCACACCACCACGCTGCAAGAAGCGGCCAAAGGGCGTCTGTCAGCAGCAGGGCGCGCTAACACCACACTCACTGCCACGGGCACACAAAGGTGCAGGTCTGTGTGGCCACACAAGTGAAACATGGACCTAGAACGTCCATCTCTGCCGTGCTAACAGTCACTTGACAGTTGTGCATTTTTCTATTGAGTCAAAGTCCATTTGCTACATACAGTCCAGCGGGCACTGTGGGAAAGTGCATGCTTCCCTCTCCCTACTCACCTCGATCTCCATGGGTTCCACCTCGATCTTCTTCCATAGTTCCAGCAACTGTGCAATCGGCATTTTTTTTTTAAACTTTCCTTTTCTTCCAATCAAGTGTGGGTAGTAAGAAAGAAAATAAACACAGGCACCAAACGGCCGGCCACCCCGGAGGATCGGCTGACAGGATGTCAGAGGCGGGGGCCGCAGGCCAGGCTGGAGTGGAGAGTGGGAAAGAGCGCACCGGATGAGCCTCTGGGCCGCGGAGGGTCCTGAGGTCTGTAGTGTGGCGGCGGCGGCTCAGCCTAGTCAGCAGGCTGCAGCACAGCCAGGCAGGGAGACTGACTGCAGCGGCGGCGGCTGGGTGACTGTGCCTGTGCGTCTGACAGAGTAAAGCTTTGCTTGCAGCCTCCAAGTGCTTCCCTGCCTCCCAGCTACGTTGCCACTCTGCACCCTCCCCTCACTATTTTACCTTAATTGGCTCTAAATGAGGGTGAAAGTTGAGTCTGAGGATGCTGCTGCCATAGAAACTGCTTAGCAACGGAGGACCAGTGAGGGAGAAGGAGGGACGGAAGCTCAGGCTCTGCCCTTCCCCTCCTCTGCGACACTGCCTGGGACCCACACCACCACCCGTCAGGAGTTCTGCTGAGGCTGGCGGCCAGACGCAGCCCTCCACATCAGGGTTTCAGAAAGCCGCATTGGGGACTGTGCTGATGCCTGCAGCCGCGTGGTGCAGCGATTCCCCGCTGTCCCCAATGAACAGATCTGTTCAGGCATCGGGCAGGCGACATCCAGAAGGAAGGAGTACCCCCAGGCTGAAGGGGCTGGGCAGGTTGTGTACCTGAGAAGCCAGTCTTTGACCACACTTCTGCCCTAAGCAGGAGGACAGGACTGGCTGTAGGAACCTTACATGAGGCATCCCCGACCTCTCTGCAGGAGAGGGCAGAGACTGACAGTTTGAACTAAGGCAGGACCTGCGGAAAGCAGGAAAAGGATGTTTGGGGGTGAGGACAGCTGTGACTCCAAACATTGTGCATCGGGCACATATCTCATTTATTTTTTCCACCCAGCATGGGTATTTCAGTCCCATTTTACAGATGAGGAAATCCCATGGCTCAAAGAGAAGTAAAGTACCCACAGACACAAGGGTGAGATCAAAGTCAAGAAGCCCTGGCTTGTCTGCCTGAGGCTCAGAAACTCAGCTTCTCCGAGGAGGGAGTGTGTTCTAGGGTTCCTTGAGGGTGGGCCTTTGGTCTGTTCCATTTCTACCTTGGAATAAGAAACACATGCGGGAGATGATGTGTTCATTTCTCCACGCTGAGCCTGGATTGATTGGGTTCCTCTCTTGGGAAATAGTGTCCAAGACGAACAAAGTTTAGCCTTGCTCTGAGAGCAAGCATCTCCATTTCTGTGTGCCCTTCTCTTTGAGAACAGCTAAGGCAATGGCTCCCTGGTACAGAACGTTATCATGTCCTTTTCATCTTTATAAAATCACCAAGAAATGCAACTTCTTAAAGGATGGAAAGGGGCCCAAATCTGGCACACTTCGCATTTTGCAGCAGAATACTTCATCTGACATTAACAGGGGGGGCTGGGTGGCATTGACAATAGGCACTTCATACTCATCTTTTTACAAAATGAGGCCAGTGGGACCTTGAAAGTTAATTCCACTCAAGATAAGAATAAGAGCAACGTTGTTCATTTTACATTGGACACCCACTAACTGGCTGACAGAGCAGAGTGAGGGCATCCTGAAAGCTGACTGCAATAATAAAGTCATTTAAGGCACAATGTAAAAGGTCACAAGCTAACAACAGACAAAATGATGTGGTTTTTCTCTGTAATAAAGCCAGGAAAACCACTCACAAAAGACTTCTGAAAAGATGTGAAAAGCATTTCATCTGACCACTTAAGACCTGAAACTCCCACAGGCAATGGAAGGAGACACAATAGTTTTCTTGCTGTGTTTTTACAAAACCTCCCATTTCTAGAACATTCTACAGACACGCCAATACGGAAAGATGGAAAGGAAATATTGGTCCTTCCCTTTGAGGGAGGAACAAAGATGAAAGAAGTTTAGATCGGCCTTGGGGTGAGCCGTGCTTCCTTAGAGACTGGAGTGAACCCGAGTTTCCAGGAGGCCCTGAGTTAAAACTCTTGCCAGAACTTGCTGTCATCAAATGCAAAAGAATGAGTACTTAAGGGTGTGTTGGGTGTTGCCACAAATATGGCTCATAATTCAGCATCCCATCTCTTCTCAGTCCCTGCTCCATGAGCTGAACCCCATCCCGCCATCTTCTAGGTGAGGCAGAGAAGGCTGAAGAAACAGTGTGGGAGAGAGGGTGGGATCTGAGTGAGGCATGGGAGCCGGGCTCAGTTCACTGTCCACGGCTGCCTTTGGAACTTACAGCAGGTTACTCGAAGCAAACAATTCGGGCACCCAGGAGTACAGCAGAGAGAGGCTGCTGTACAGGAGCAGGAGAGGACTGGGAAACTGATCACTGAGGACCTAAGAATGAAAAAGTGGAAAGGGAAAGTTACAAGAGAAAATTAAGGACCCAAGAAGATGTTAGCCCCATTTATAAAGCTTTCACTACCCAGAATAGACAAATAAAAGAAGGAGCGGGACTTTTCTGGGAGAAATAATTACACCTCAACACCAAAGAGGGTCAAGATTGCAATAAAGAACCAAATTATTTTGGATGAGTGTTCAACTAAATCCCAAGAAAGCTCAAATGACTTGTTCAACAGAGTGACACTTTAAAAATTCAGTTTCCAAGAAACTTGCTTATAGACATCAGTTTGCAAGGAGAGATCGTAACTAGAGTGCCCTTGCTGAAAACGGTCTTCAGTGGATCCAGCTCTTCAGAGTAAAGGTGATGGGAAGCGCTGCTGGAGCCCCCAGCCACCGGATCACGGGGACCATGAGAATGATAAACAGGCATCGAATGCAGAGAACTCCAGCCCCACAAACCCTCAGCACAAAGGGAATAAAAGCACCAGTGCGCTCGTACCCCTTAAGTCTGAGAACATGTTTATTTGCTCACAGAAAGGAAGGGAATGAAGGGGCGCCTGCCCACCCCCTTGACTTCCAATAACTAAGGAAGTAGGCTCTTCCCTAGTGTGGAGAGGTCTCGGAGCCCGTGGTTGGTCCACCGCTGGCACTTAGAGCTGTCCTGCGTAGTTCAGCTTTCATCATGAAGCCACAGCATGCTGCATGAGCCGAGGAAAAAAGCCTCCACTGAATCTAAGCCACCTGGTGTTTGAAATAATGAGACACTCTTGGCCTCCATTTTGTCCTTGATAGTCATGAGTCAGATGACTCATGTTCTATCCCGTCATATTCCACCTTGTGGTTGACGATAACAAAGGACTTGGTAAAAATAAGACAAATTGCTCATTTCTAGTGGTGTGGTCTCTTTTGCTAGTTCCATATTCTAGTGTTTCACAGAATTCTAAAAAAAAAAAAAAAAACCCACAACAATAACAAAACACCTTAGAACCAAATTGATTGTAACAAAAAAGCAAGCTACTTCCTTGTATTAGCCGATTTCTGTGCCCTCAAGTACATCATTAAAGTCTTGAAGTCCTGCCTCCATCCGTTCATAACATAGAGTTAAAGGGCCATGCAGAAGCCACGGTGGAATGGGGTCACTGATCCTAATAACTGGAACCCTTCAAGGAGAATCTTTAAGTAGATGCAAACAGCATATGGAGAACACCGCACAGAGCTGAAGTCTTCCCACCAAAGGTCAAGGAACTACACATTCTCCAAGAAGCTAATGGAGACCTGGGGACCTCCAAGGAATACCACCATACTGCCACACTTGAATCTTGGACTTCTGACCTCCACACTGTGAGAGAATACACTCCTAAGCTGGTGCCTTGGTGTTGTGTCACAGGAGCATAGTGATGCCTCCACTGGGGGACTAGAGAGAACAGAACAATAAAGCAGATACTGCAATACCACCATCCCACAGAATTCCATAGAAAGAAACATGAAGATCTTGCACTGCCCTCCCTTGCACAGGAGACATCCTGTCGGCTGGCAGCAGTGAGACCTCAGAGCAGCCTCCAGAGGCTTCGAGACCCACTTCACGTACTGGCGCTCTCCGGTGGCTCCAGGAAGGTGCAGAGGCACTGAACCCAGGCAGCCCTTACAGGATGCTGTCGGAGCCTCATTCCCAGCACAGTGGCATCATGACATACTTTACAGAACAGCCACGTTTGTTTCTAAGAAAATTATAAGGAAAAAAATTTTAAAGGCTGAGCAGAGAGTAAACAGCTTCTCTTTATTGTGCAAAGCAAATTATAAGCTCAGGGGGATTTTTAAAGAAGGAACTTGCCAGCTTCCCAGCTGATCCTTCCATCTCATCGGTGAGAAGAACCATGGTAACCCAGTTGCCCAAATAGGACCCCTTGGTCTTTCCACCGGCTGCAAAGGCTGTCTTCCTCCAAGCAGCAGCACAGCTCTGGGCCAGCACTTCCAGTGATACCAACGTGCACACATGGGCGCACAGAAGGACGTGGGAATGATGCCGTGCTACCAAGACACCCATCTTTCTGCCTACACATATTTTCCAGGAATTAGTGCAGGTTCATGACATACACACCACACCACTGACCAGCCTTCTGTCGGAGTCCAACCTCACCGGTTCTGGAGAGATCAGTATCAAAGCTATACACTTCCCTGAAGCATTGCCATTGGCAATGAATGCCCATTAAGCAACTCCTAGGGCTTACTCAATTATCCTCCAGCGAATCATTTATTTCAGCCTTCGGGATTCTGATCATCCAGCAATGCAGCTAGGACATGTGAACAAGCCATCATCAGGAAGACTGGATTTCTGCAGTTCCCTGAGGCGGCGCTGAGAGATGCTACCCCATTCAGACACACCCGGCTGTCGAGTTGCAGGAAAGCATGCATGACTTCCGCAAGAGTTTCAACTCAAAATGAATAGAGTTGTAGAATTTTAAAATGTGTTCTCTACTGGACCAATTCAAGTTTTCTTTAAAATAAAAATATTTATGCATATATCTATGACCAAATGAGGAAATGCAAAAAAAATAATTAAAAAATATCAGTATGGTGCTGATAGAAGCTGTAGAGATAAAGTAGCTGAGAAGTGAAGTGTCATGAGCCAGGTTTGACCAACAGCACCATGTTTTATTAATCCTTGCTGCATCTTCATAATGGCTGAGTGTCTTTATTACAGAAGAAGTTCTCAGCAGTCATTAGTGCAGAACTGAACCTGGGGATGCAATTCAGCCGTAGGGCACTTAGCTAAAACTCGCAGCCCCCCACAAAAACTGACTGAAGAGGGCAAGAAACAAACACATGGAGTTGACTAAAGAGCGTACGGAGTGAATCGGAGACTGCTCTGTACTCACAAGGCTCGGAGTGAATTGGAACAAACCTTCACTGTAGTTGGTATTTACAATAGAAAATTAGACACGAGCACAAATGAGCCTTGGTAAATTCTCCAAAGCACAGCAGTTACGCTCTCAGAACATGAGTAATCGCTGAAAGCGTGGTATTTATAGTAATCTTCCAAATAATCTGCGGA